ATCAACTGGAGGCTTTGCAGTGTTTTTTGGATCTAACCTCATCTCTTGGCGTGCAAGAAAACAGGCAACAGTATCAAGGTCAAGTACAGAGGCTGAGTATAAATCCTTGGCCAATGCTACTGCAGAAATCATTTGGTTAGAGTCACTACTTGAGGAACTGGGAGTTAAGCTAAACAGTGTCTCATGTCTTTGGTGTCACAATTTGGGTGCAACATACTTATCTACAAATCCTGTGTTTCATGCCAGAACAAAACATATTGAAATTGATTTTCACTTTGTGCGTGAAAGAGTTGCAGAAAAGAAACTTGAGGTACGGTTCATCCCTTCCAAAGATCAAGTAGTTGATGGATTTACCAAGGCACTACCAGCAAAACCATTTGAAGAATTCAAGAGGAATTTGAACATAGGATAGTTGAGATTAAGGGAGGGTGTTAGAAGTTATGTTTATCTCTATTTTGTAATCTCAACCAACATATCATCTCTCTCTCTCTCTCGTAGCTATCCTTTGTAACGACCTGATCTCATACGATGGGTCTGCTTCATCTTGTACGCCAAGGCATGGTTGTTTGCCTCGTATCAATATAAACAACATCACGGCTCTCCTTCAGGAGAATAGGAATGCTTCCCAATCTAACAAAGACGGCGGAGCCGGTCGGAGTCCAGGCCTGAGAGCTGCCGGACCTGGCAACACATACGTACGCTGATCAGATGATCAAATGCCTCGCAGTGGATCGGTAGCGCAAGCTGACCCACCGCCCCGAGTTAAAAATCTTGGAATCATCAACCTTCAGGTTCAAGGTTACCAACACAAACATTTTGCCTTGCAAGCATTTGCTTTCACCAAAAACTACAAAGCAATCTCAAAATAAAAATAAAAATGGCAACACTCTAGGGAAAGTTTAGAAGCAAAAAAGAGCCGAGTATCTCTCGGGTGAGAGCCGAGTATCCTAACCACCTAGACTACGACGGAACAGTGATGATGAAAACACTGGAGCTTATCTGACCTATACAGCGCACACAACATGTACTTGGCATCACAAAACAGCATGGGCCATGGAGCGGCTGGGCACGAGCTGACATAGCTAGCAAACGTCAATAAACCGAGAACAAACAATGTTTGCTCTAGTCAGGGAAACATGGTCATCTGCTATAGCTTTCGCCAGAGCTGGATATACTAACCAAACATGGTTACAACTCCTTTTTTAGAAAGGGAATATATTAATATCGTGAAGATATAGCAAGATGTCCAAAGACACCAAGGATACACACAACAAAAAAAAGAAAATAAAAAGAACAGAAAAAAAAACCCGCCACCATGATCAGTTCCTAGCAACAACAACACTATAACCACCACCAAATACAACACCCGGCATACAAAAAAGGTTCTCCGAAAGCAACGCTGTCAAGAAGAAAACAATCACAAGCGTTATCGTTGCCCGATCGAAGATCTTGAGTGTTCATCCTGAAGAAAGTCCGAGTTAGCAGCTAGCACCCCTAAACCGAGCAAAGAGAAGACATCTGCTCTCTTTGGTTCATAACAGATATGAATTCAGACAAAATGGATCATAGGAAAACAAGCCAACGTATGCATGCTTGGATAAAATCCGAGCAATCTGCGCCCCTACGTTGAGACCATACAACATATGCTGGTACACAAGTATCAATATTACTAAAGGTTCGTTCATCGCGACTATACAAAATCTTCCATCAGATGTCGGTGGTCCTGTCAGAGCATCTCCAATAGACACTAGTATATAATAGGGCGTCCAAAAAAAGTTTTAGGATATCTGCAAAAGGGCAGGAGAGAGAAAATTTTAGTGCATTGGAAATTTTTCTGCCGTAGTAGATGGTGAAAAATAGGCCACCCAAAAAACTGCCATTTGGTTCAATTGAAGTCCTTCAACTATGAATTATATCAAACTCATCTCAAATGAATCCAAAACAAATAATATAAAATTAGTACTCCCTCCAATCCAAAATCAGTGTCGTAGTTTTGTTAGATAGTTTATCAATCCATAACATCAAATTCATCACAAACTGTTCATCAAATATAACACAAAGTTCATCACACATGACATAAAACATAGAGATGAAACTGGTGGTTTTGTTGCCCATTCCATGATCACCACTCCTCGATGAGATCTCTTTGAAGATCTTCGTGCTGAAATCTCGAATGTCATGGTAAAAATCGTTGGATGCGGTCTTCCCTCCTACGCGGCCGAACCTGTTGACCCATTTGGTCATATCCAAATCTTTCCCACACTCTTTCTCAATGATTATGTTGTGCATGATCGCAGCGACCTTGATGATGTACCAAAGGATCTCTTGATATCAAATCCTAGCCAATCCTCGAACAATAGCAAACTCGGATTGAGAAATCCCAAAAGCCCTCGACGGCGTGGAAGCAGATAGGGCACTCCACGGCACGTTTGTCTTCCTCGGCAGCGTCGAAGCACGAAGCGAGGTCGCCGGAGCAGATGAGACGGCGGAGCCGGTCGGAGTCCAGGTCCGAGAGCTGCCGGACCAGGCAACACATACGTACGGTGGTCAGATGATCAAATGCCTCGCAGTGGATCGGTAGCGCAAGCTGACCCACGGCCCCCAGTTAAAAATCTTGGAATCATCAACCGTCAGGTTGAAGGCTACCAACACAAACTGGCCATCAGCTTGCTCAGATTTACCTTGCAAGCACTTGCTTTCACCAAAAACTACAAAGCAATCTCAAAAATTAAAAATGGCAACACTCTAGGGAAAGATTAGAAGCAAAAAAGAATTCCGTCGCCGGGACTTGAACCGGGGTCTCTGAGAGCCGAGTATCCTAACCACCTAGACTACGACGGAATCGTGTTGATGGAAATACTAAAACGTATTTATTGTGGTGACATGTCTGTCCTGTACACAACACAGAACAGCACGAACGTTAGAGCTGAATCGCAGCTTTGCTTGAATTCAGACATGGGTGGCAACATCCCTGAACCGAGCAACAACTACATTTGCTCACTGTAGCTCTCTTTGATAACTGCCCATCACCTAGAGAAGCATCCTGAAGCCTTAACAGTTAACACTACTGAAGAGATTATTGAGATTCAGGTTCAGGGTGAATCTGTCTTTCCTTTATCAACTAGGGAAGTCCAAATGGTCAGGTAGTGCATTTCGAATTCTGGATAAACAGTGAGCATGTATGTACAGAGGAGGAGCTTACATGTCAAGTCTTCGATGAAATTAGTCTTTAAGAATTAAGACTGCTAAGTTGCACCACATCGGATATATTCTTAACAATAATACAAAGCCCCGGCGAAAGAACTTCATTTCTAGACAAACTACCTGGTACTGGTTGGAGAAAGAGAAATGGCCTTGCCAGTTTTGCCTGTGAGAACAATGATAAAATTTCTCAAGTCCCATAGGCAGCCACATCGCCATCGCCATCCACATCTACACGCCGGTCCTCGATTGCCGCAGAGAAGCACCCGCCGAACCCACCTCCGCTGCTGGTCTCGATGTTGTGCGTGAAACTTGATTTGTTGTTGTATGGTGAACAACACATGGAGGGAGCCATTGGAGTGTAGAGAGCCGCCGGCTGGGAGGGAGCCCCATCAGATAGGCCCACGGCAACGGATGGTGCTTAGGGTTTCATGGGGGATAAGGGTTATATAAGGGAGCGTGTGACGTTCGATGCAATTCTCTAGAGTCAACAGGACACCCGTCTGATGAAAATCAAGAACAAAAAACGGTATCTCCAGGCCCCAATAGTTGAACAACGCCAGCAGTTGCACCACCATGGCTTGCTGTTTTTTAGAGGGTTTTGCTGTTGAACAAGAACACCTGCTAGCTGACGTTTCATCCCCAGGCCCCACTAGTTTGGACAGGTTTTTGACCACCTGTCTGCCTCTGAAATTCTTCCTGAATGAGTTTTATTAATCATGTCCACCATCCTGTCCATCGTCCTGAACACATCTTGATGCTTTACCCAAATGAGTGTAAGAAGATGCACCCCGGAGTATAATTTTTTTATCATCCCTCGTTGGCAATTTGAGAATCTCATTTTGGACTAGGTACCAGATCAGCCGAGCCCAGCCAACCTTATGCGCTAACCCCACCTTTACTTTCTCCATCATGGCCGACACATTTTATGGCAACATGTCTCTGCCACGGAACTCGGGGAGGATCCACATTTCCCTGAATTGCAAGACAACGCAGGTAACCGCGACCAGGTTCAAGTTGGGAGGGAGCTCTTTGTGCTCCGTCATGGGTTGGAGTTGGAGGCCTGTTGTGTTGAGGAAGGACTTGTGGTTGACATTGACGCGGGTCCCACAGATGTAGGCGCAGGAGCAGTAGCTACATTGCCTCTACATGTGGTAGGAGGCGACAAGGTGGAAGATGAGGTCATGTCGGGGGATACCATCTAGGAGTTGGAGCCACATGAAGTCGAGGAGGCTGAGGTGGCGGAGGGCGGGCTCCGTATCGTGGTCGTTGGGCCAGCCCCGAAGAGAGGATGGAGGCTGGTAGATGTGGAACCCGGTGGTGGGAATCTCCTTGGACCTGCCGCCGGCATTGACCATGGCGGTGTTACAGATCTGTTATGAAATTGTGTTGTGATACTACCGTTCTACCTTCATAAAATGCATGTCATGTGCACGATGTCTTTGGTGGGCGTCTTGGGAATGATACCATGCATACTCTAGAGGAGGTGCTAGATCTGTATAGTGCCTCTCTCGGGATGCTACATGTTTTCTCACAGAAAGATGCAACATCTCATTGATATCATACAGAAGAAAAGTAGTTACATCTGGCATAACAAAAGATTGTTTTTATCTCAAAATACAACACATACTTAAAAACTAAAGGTGATGTAAAATAGAAGTCTGAGACAATCGTGCTTCTAACTAGACAACAATAATTCAAATAATTTCATGGTACAGTTGGCAAAATTAAAGGAATGATCAGTCAACAATTGTCCAACACACATGCAAAAACATCTTAGGCCGTGCTGACCGGCATGACTATCCATCCATGATAGCATCCTCTCCAATGGAATCCTACAGTGAGAAAAAATGATTTAAATACACTTGTCTAGCTTGATAATTCATATGCAAAGACGTGATACATGTTAATAAGAAATGTTCTTACGTCATTTAGAAGGTTGGCAATATCATCCGATGACAAGTTATTAATGTCATTAAATAGATCATTAGGCTCTTGCTGATTAACCATACTTTCTTGCACATGAAGAATGCCAACTACATCCCCGCCATCAGGCATTGGAGTTAATTCGATGAAACCATCTGTCCGAAGGTTGGAAAGTGTGGAAATAGTTCTTCCACAGCTAACCATATTAATCTCGGGTTTTGAAGTGCTACCAACACGAAGTGCAGAATTGCCATTCAACATCGTCCCTACTAAGCTTATGTTGTTTGCTATGTCGAATGGCGATATTTTCTCATTGAAACCTGACCGTAATGTAGTGATGCTACCTCTGTTAACCATCTGAGATGGTGCCACTGGAGTAGTGTTGTGCGCATTCAATATCCCAACTGTAAGAACATGCGGTGCCCCCATGTTTGGTTTTGGTAATTGATGACAATCTCTATGGACTAATGGTTGTCTTGAGTTATATTTGAAGGATTTGTCCATAGGTTTTTCTTGATGTCCATGTGTTGGTTTCAAGGAGTTTATGAGTTGACCAATGTGCTATTAAGGAATTATCCAAAGATTGGTCATGTGAGTGTTGAGCTTATTGCAAGCATGTCTTGAAGAAGAAGATTGTATGATCATTCATGTTTACCTTCAAGACATCATCCAAATGAAGAGAGTTGGAAAGATTCAAGGTTGATCAAGACTAAGTCAAGAGTGAATCAAGTTGATCAACTCACAAAGCATAGAAGATGTACCGAGAGGGATCAAGTGATCCCATGGTATGGTAAGCATTGTCCATTGCACTTTGTGTACTAACCCATGGTCTATGTGAGAGTTCTATGTGGGGTTAGGTACGTGTCCATGGGCTTGCGTCAAGAGACAGATATCATACAACCCATGGAAAGGATAACATCAAGTGGTGATCGTCATCAAGATTGTCGTGTGCAAGTTCAAGTGGAGCATCACGAAGAGATCAAGTGCTTGAATCTTGTCATCCATTTTGGTGTCAATGGACTTGTGAAGATGTGCCTAAGAGTGGCTCACCCATAATAGACTGTGGGGGAGCAATCATCTAGTCTTCATCGAGCCAACGCAATCAAGAAAGGTGGTCCAACTTGAGGGAGTCAAGATCGTCTTCATCTAGCTCAAGAGGACCATGTGCAAGGCAAAGGTTTGCCCTTGATAGGTTTTCTAGTTTATCGGTCTCGTGGTGGTAGTTGGGAGACCGAGTTATAGGATCGTTTGCCGTACTATCAAGGGGGGGGGGCTCTCAAGTTGGTAGCTTGATCGTATCGTTAGTAGAGAGCTCAAACCATTGCATACTTGCATCATGTTTCTTGGTTCTTGTTTGGTTATCTTTGTGAGTCTTAGAGCTTATGGTCATCTTGATGACAAGGTTGAGTTCATCGAAAACGGAGTTCGCATGCGTCTTCTATGATGTTTTCGGTGTTGGAGGTTTTACCGGTCTTATCCGAGGAAGGGTTCTCACCTTTTTCTTATGGGACTTTTCTCATTTGCTTATTATTGATATTTCTATCAAGATTGTGTTAGCCCATGTCGTTAGCTTTCCAACAAACTCGGTTTCGTTGAATTCGGAGTCTGTTTGCAAAAGTTATGGCTGTTTTGGTAAAGGCTGCAGTGGTACTACCGCGACTAGAGCGGATGTAATTTTTTACTACCGCTCCAGAGCGGTACTACCACGGCTCCTGAGCGGTAGTACCCCTCCAGAGCAGTACTACCACGGCTCCTAAGCGGTAGTACCGCTTCGGACCAAAATCTCGTGTTTTGCTCAGCGGAAGTAGGCACAGAAGTATTTTTTTAGTACTGCTCGCAAGCAGTAGTACCACTACCATTTGCGGTAGTACCGTGAGGTCGAGCGGTAGTACCGTGAGGACGAGCGGTAGTACCGCTCCAGCGGTTCTACTGGCCTTTTGCCTCCTCGCTGTTGTTTTTCAAAGGGGTACTACCGCCCTAGCGGTAGTACCACTCCTTGGAGCGGTAGTACCGCTCTGTGCGGGCTGTGAGCATAACGGTTGGATTTTCCCCCACCTATAAAAGGGTGTCTTCTTCCCCATTGAACCTTATCCTTTGAGCTCGTGTTCTTCCCCGATTGTTGACCTTCTCCGAGCTTGCTATCTCTCAATCCCTCCATGGATTCTTACTAGTTTTTGAGGGAAAAGAGAGAGGAGATCAAGATCCACGTTTCCACCAATCACTTTCTCCTCTATGTGAGAGGAACCCCTTGGATCTAGATCTTGGAGTTCTTGGTATTCTCCTTCTTGTTCTTTCTCTCATTTTCCTCCTTAGCATTAGTTGCTTCGGTGGGATTTGGGAGAGAAGGACTTGGGCACTCTGTGTGCCCTTGCCATTGCATTTGGTGCATCGGTTTGAGTTCTCCACGGTGATACGTGGAAGTTTCAAGTTGAGAAGCTTATTACTCTTGGGTGCTTGGTGCCCTTGAGCTTGTTCCTCTTGGGTGCTTTGGTGCCCTAGACGGTTGGTGGTGCTTGGAGCTCAATCATTGTGGTGTAAAGCTCTGGGCAAGCGTCGGGGTCTCCAATTAGGTTTTGGAGGTCGCCCCGAGCAATTTGACGGGTACCGGTGACCGCCCCCAAGGGTTGCCAAAGTGTACGGGTTTGGTGACCGCCCCCAAGGCTCGCCATTTGTACGGGTTCGGTGACCGCCCTCAAGGGTCCCTTAGTGGAATCACGGCATCTTGCATTGTGCGAGGGCGTGAGGAGATTACGGTGGCCCTAGTGGCTTCTTGGGGAGCATTGTGCCTCCACACCGCTCCAAACGAAGATTAGCATCCGCAAGGGTGTGAACTTCGGGATACATCATTGTCTTCGTGTGCCTCGGTTATCTCTTACCTGAACCCTTTACTTATGCACTTCACTTTGTGATATCCATATTGTTCTTTGTCATATATCTTGCTATCACATAGTTACTTATCTTGCTTAGCATAAGTTGTTGGTGCACATAGGTGAGCCTAGTTGTTTTAGGTTTTGTGCTTGACAAATTAACCGCTAGGTTTATTCCGCATTTGTTCAAGCCTAAACCGTAATTATTTTCAAGCGCCTATTCACCCCCCCCCCCTCTAGGCGACATCCACGATCTTTCAATTGGTATCAGAGCCTCGTCTCTCTTCGTTGGGCTTAACCGCCCAGAGAGTAAAGATGTCGACTAGGGTATTAGGATTCCCTAACACTCTTAGTTTCGATGGCACAAATTTTTATGTTTGGGTAATTCACATGCTTAAATCTCTTTAGGGCCATGGACCCAAATTTAGAGTGAATTGTAGATATGGGTTTTTCTCCTCCAAAGGATCCCCAAAGATTATCTTTAGAGGATGATAAAAACTCTTATCTCAATGCTCAAGCTTCTAATGTGCTTTTTGATGCTTTGAGCAATGTAGTTATATTTCAACTCATGCCGTTCTTGGATGCTCATGAGTTGTGGACGAAGCTTCAAGATAAATATGGTGTGTCCAAGATTTGTGGGGATGATTGTTCTCCCTCCACCTCCGGCCGTATAGTCTTCCCAACTTCTTCTACTTCACCTACATGTGGTTTGCCACAAGGTAATGATATGGTGAGTAGTGTTGGTCATTGCAATGATGATAGTATGCTTATTGTGGATGATCCTTCATCACTATATTATTGCAATGCTCCTTCTTTGTACTTTAACACTTCGAGCACTCCAAATGTTTCACATGCTTGTGTTGATAGTCCTTGCATATCATGTAGAAATTTCTCGACTAAATCTCATGATGATATGCTTGCTATGCCTTGTTCCCATGATAAAAATGCATCTATTTCCTCGAATTGTTGTGCTAACAATGTAGAAGAAACCGAACACTCCATGGAACAAGATGTGGTGTTTAATGGTGCCTCAAGGGATCCTACTTTGTACCCCAATATGTCTCTTGATCATGATGTTGATGTTAATGATGATGAGGATAATGATGAAGAGAATGATAATGTTGCCTCCTTAAAAATTAAGGGGGAAATGATTTTTAAAGCTCTTCATAAAAATATAAGTGCTCGTTCCAACTTCATGGAAATAATGTCCATTGCCATTGATGGCAAGAAATACATTGAGGAGTTGGAATCTCGTCTAGAGGAGCATGAGGTCACCATTGAGAAAATGGAAGCTCTTGAGCGTGATTACGCAAATGAGATCGCGGAGTTATCTCAAGCTCTTGAACATGAACAAACCACCTCTGAATCTCTTGAGGAGACTTTTGCTCTAGAATTATCTAGAGTGAGGGAATCTCATGATAGAGCTCTTGAGGTGGCCAATGATTTCAAAACTAGAAATGCTAAGCTTGAAGTTTCTCATGCTATACTCCTTGAGGATTTTGAGCACCTCGAAAATGGCTCAAGGGTCATCCAGGGTGAGCTCATCAAACTCACGAGTCTCATGCCCAACTTGAAGCTTCTTATTTAAAAGAGCTTGCCAAGTTGTCCTCTCCTATTGTTGTAAATGATGATGCTTGTGCTACTAACTCTATTACTTGTGAAGCATCCATTTTGAAGGAGAATGTTGAGCTACGGCCTCAACTTGACGTGCTATCTAGCAATTATGGGAAATTGGAAGAAAGTCATGAAAATCTCTCAAGCTCTCATGATGATCTTTTAGTATCCCATAGTGTGCTAAAGATAGCTCATGAGGCCATGATTGCTAAGGTAACATCTAGTGAGCCTCATGTGGATACTAGCACTACTTCTAGTCAAGACAGTATATTGCCATGTGCTAGTCCTTGTAATTCTTCTACTCACAATGTTGGTACATCTTGTGATGAATTGCTTTCCTTGCCTTGTTGCTCTAACAATGAAGCTTATACTTCCTCTAGTACTTGTGTTGAGACTAACCATGTAGAGGAAATCAAAGGGCTCAAGGCCCAAGTCACATCTTTGAAGAAAGACTTAGAAAAGGGTCATGAAGGGAATTCCACACTCAACAATATCTTGAGTGTGCAAAAATCCCCCAATGACAAAGGTGGACTTGGATTCAACTCCAATAAGAAGAAGAAGTCCAAGAGAATCAAGAAGAAGGGCCAAGAGCAAGTCAAGAATTCGTCCAAGATTATTTGCTTCAAGTGCAAAGTTGAAGGGCATCATGTTAGATCTTGCCCATTGAAGAAGAAGGCCATTAGTGACAAGCAACAAGGGAAGAGGCCACAAGTTCAATCTCACGCTCAACCTCAAGTTGAAGAAAGGCCACTTC